TATTTCATTATATATAAATTAAATGTTTCATCCAAGCCTATTAGATTTGGTCATAAAATCTCTACTAGCCTGCAGCGAGGCTTACATCTGTTGTATCTTATTAATTCTTAATATTATAAGATTTTAAAGATTAAAATGTAGGGCTGTTCGTTTCTCCTGTCAGTTCGCCTTCAGGCTGTCTGTTCGYTTCCTCATCTGTCTGTCTGTTCGTTCGTCTGCCCTTCTGTCTATCCGCCCGTTTACGCATTCGTCCGCCTGTCCGTTTTTCCTTTCGTTCATACGACCTCCCATCCATTCGTCCGTTCATATGTCCTCCCATCTTTTTGTCCACCTGTATGTCCGTTCTTGCGTTTATCCGTCTTTTTGTTCTAGAACATAAGAGATTAAATAAAAATGTCGACTAGGAAGTCCCACAGTACTTGGCGTGAAATTAGAGCTTTATTTATTAATCGATAACTTCTCTGCAGTAAATCGATTAAAGTAGTTATCGAAGTTTAATCATTAGCGTATTTTTAGCATAAATAAAAAAATCGTACTTATTTGATAAGACTATTGATAATATATAAGTAATATTGCTATACTTTAAGTTCCCCCTACTTTACATCAACTGACCGTGTGATCTCTTTGTGCTTTCAGTGTGCCAGTGCAATGGACATGCTCGCCGTTGTCGCTTCAACCTGGAGCTGTACAAGTTGTCCGGCCGCGTGTCTGGCGGCGTTTGCTATAATTGTCAGCATGATACGACCGGAAGGTATTGTCACTATTGTCGCGAGGGCTACTACCGGGATGCCACCAAGCCACCCAATCATCGCAAAGTGTGCAAACGTAAGTAGCAGCTGTTTTGGCCATCAATCAGCGGCCTAGTTAACTGTCACACAGCACAGATGTCTCTCTCTAATGATGACTCTCCCTCTCTCCTCTCTCTCTCTTTCTGTCTCTCTTTCGCTCTATCTGCTTTAGGCTGTGACTGTCATCCCGTGGGCTCCACCGGCAAGACGTGCAATCATCTGAGTGGTCAGTGTCCCTGCAAGGAGGGCGTCACTGGCCTCACTTGCAATCGCTGTGCACGCGGCTATCAGCAGACGCGCTCTCATGTGGCGCCCTGCATAAGTAAGTATCTAGTGCTCACTATCCCCCTCCCTCTCTCTGTGTGTGGCCTTGTTATTAATGTTTCTCTGCTGCATATTAACAGAGGTGCCCACAAATGCGAATATGATTCAAGCGGAAAGCGCTGGCGGCGGCAGTGGAACTGGCGACTACAAAGATGGCGGAGGCTCTCAGGCTGAGGAAATGAAAAAGTGTAAGTGTTGTAGTGAAATGAGTGGAGAGTAACTAGTTGAGATATGTGAACTGATAAGTGCAGAGTAACATAAGACAAGCGACGTCTTGTAGACTTTTGTAAAGAGTGAAGAAAGATCTGCAGCAGAAATCTCTCGTGGAGAGTTGTGAATATTTGGAGAGTGTTAAGATAGTTATTATGAGCAAAAAGAAAGAGTTAATCGTGGAGAGTTGCGAGCGTAGAGTGGAGAGTTCCAAGTCATGGTTACTCTGTTGAAATATTTAATTGATGTATGACCAAATAAATAGATATAAAGGATTTGTGCATATTATTTGTGGAGATCTCAGAGTATACAGTGGAGAGTTGCAATTATAAAGTTATTGGAGTTATTGAGCTATAAAACGCATTATTGGCGAATGGGGCATCGAATGACGAGGAGTTGGACAATAGCTTGTGGAGAGTTGGAAGAAAAATATTGTGGAGAGTTGTTGCATATATACACACATAAGAACAGAGTTTCTTATAACTTTACAGTAATGTCTTGTTACTCGTGACTCGTAGAGAGTTACAAGTAGAGCTCAGCTATTGGGCTACTAATAAACGATTAAATAGAGATTTTGGAGAGTTGCTCGGGGAGAGTTATGAGTGTATGGCGGAGAGCTACAAGTAGAGCTAAGCTATTGGGATATTAATTACCGATTAATTAGATTCTATGGATAATTGAGAGAAGATTACGAGAAAGTTTACAGTTTTGGAGAGTTGTTCAGTAAAGGGGATTGGAGAGTTTTTAGAAATCTAGCGTAGCGACTAATAACTAATAAGATTCCATTTACAAAATGAATAAATAGTATTTAATATTATTTAATAGTATTTACTAAATACTTATATAATAAACTTTCCACATCCACACACCCCCCACACACAAATATAGATTGCGGCAAGTGCAAGGCCAGCCCCAAGAAGCTGAATCTGAACAAGTTTTGCATGGAGGACTATGGTACGTATACGCAATGCGCATTCTATTGGCTAGAGCCCAGCTCACACACTCAACTCGATTGCAGCTCTGTTGGCCAAGGTAATTGGACATGATCGCGCCTCCCAGGACATCAGCACCGAGAAGTTCTCAATCGAGCGACAGAACGAGATTTACAAGTACGAGATAAACATACAGACGATCTTCAAGCGTAATCCCATGTCGGGCACAACCAGTTCCCTGCTGGGACGTGGCAATATGATGCTGCTGGTGCCGCGCAAGAGTATCGAGTGCCAGTGCCCCAAGATCAAGTTGAACAAGTGAGTAGCTCTCGAATCTGAATTAATTATAATTTATGTGCATTGCTTGTTATATCGTGATTTCAATGATTCTATTTTTTCGTCTTGAACTCTTTGCAGATCGTATCTAATACTTGGACGTGACTCGGAGGCAGCGCCGGGCTATCTGGCAATCGGACCCAGTTCCGTGGTGTTGGAGTGGAAGGACGAGTGGTCGTTGCGCATGAAGCGCTTCCAGCGGCGCGCCCGCAAATGCAGTTGAATCGAACCGGAAACGGAATATGTCAGAGCGGATTTCAATTTCATACACTTGGCTAGGTATCGGTTTTTGTATAAATTGTACAGTTTACTCAAGTTTCTGACCTTTTTCGGCATCATGTTTTAATTAATCCCCCCTCTCTTCACATACACCCACACACACACACACAGACACACAGACATTAACACAAAATACACTATCCACATGATACTTATTATAGACAAAAAGCGGAGTCTTCCCATCATGCATATATCTATCAGAAAAAAAAAAAAAAAAAACAAAAAAAAAAACATCTGAAATCCTCTAGTTAAGCTACTCAGCGGCATTCTAGTCTACAGACATTCGAACACTGCGAAACACTAGGCAAAAGCAAACAATAACAATAACAACACCTACACCAACAACAACAAACATGCCAAATGCTAATTACAATCTAAAGGGCGTGTGCGTGTGCGTGTGTCAAGCACATTTATGAGGGCCATAAAATAACAGTTATAAATTTGTAATAAGTGCGAAAAGCGTAGCATATCGCGTGCTCTGTGCGGTGCGAGGAAGGAGTGGGGAGCATGCAAGCCCATTGGCTGGGCAGGCGCGAAGAGGCGCTGAAGTAATGGGCAGAGCGAGAGAGTGAGAGCGAACAGAGAGCCGGGGCAGGCAAACAGGCAGGCAGAGTCATAGGCTCTCGCATAGAAGTGCAGCATGCGCTAGGGGTATTCAAGAGAAATGCGCATACGAATTTTCTGGCCTCTGCTGCAGCCTGTCTGTCATTTGCACTGTCTATGATTTTTTTCTGTCGCTCATACGCTGACTATCCCTCAGTTCAGTTGCAGGGCTGATTGAATTTTTGTTTTTCTTTTTTTTTACACTGCTCTGCATATCGCATTCATCACAGTTTTTTCGTTTGCCTCGATTTATATTTTCGATATATTTGCCGTTTGATATTTTTTGTTTTGAGTATTTTGGTTTTTATCTCCAGCAGTTTTTCGGTTTTACTGTTTGCATTTAACGGCAGTTTTATTGTTATTATTTTTCGTATTTCTTTTTTTTTTATGAATCCGTTCGATCTGTATTTTTAAAATGTATGCAAACAGTTTTGCTGTTAATTATGCAGATCCATTCGCATCCATTTGTTAGTTGATTTTCACGCGCTTTTGCATAACAATTTGTCCAAGTGAAGAAAAAAAACCCATAATAATAATAATAATACAAATAATAATAAACAAACAGCCGGACAGCAGCAGCAGCAGCGGCAGTAAAATTAATTTAAAATGCATTTATTTGAATTCAATTTTCAATTTGAATTATGCATGTAAATCAGTTAGCATTCATATAAAAAGCGCGGAGAAAAAACTTTGAATGCTTGTCAAAGGTGGCAGGGGCGTGGCGAAGGGCGTTCAGTTCAAGTTGCAACCGGCTTTTATTTTTTTGGAAACATTTTCTTAAGGGCCTTCGTTTCTCAGACAATCTCCAATCACGTTAAAACTGCGGTGCACGCCAGACAGTGCTCACTGTAGTCAACTTGCGCTTATTCCAACAAACTTGACAGACAGACAGGCAGACAAACAGACAAACAACAACACGAAACACGTTACACAAATTAAAAAAAAAAAAAAAAAAAAAGAATGCAACTTCGTAGGCTGAACAGTGATATGTTGCCCCTCTATCTATCGCACTCGCTCCTCATGCCCCTGGCCCTGCCACTGCCACTGTTTCCGTCCCTGTCCCTGTCCCTGTCCCTGTCCCTCCACCAGGCTTTGTCTCTGGCTCTGCCGCTCTCCCTTTCCCTCTCGCTGTGCCCCTTTGCTTGCATTTACACAGTTACATTTATTGTGTTTTTGTTGTCGTTTTTCTTTTTTTTTTTTTTTTTTTTTTTTTTGGTATTCTCTTTCATTTGAGTGGGGCCGCGGATTAAACATGTTACAGCTCAAAATGTAACATGATATATGACAGCAAGTGTCGAACTTGATAAATGCTTTAATGAATTTATTTTCGTGTTCTGCACAAGCGACCTGTGTATCAGCCCCTCTCGCTCTCACTCTTTGTGCTCCACACGTTGTTCTGGCTGCGTGTTTCGCTGTGGGCATTTGTCATTGGCCCATTGCCACAGTCGGCGACCGTGACCATGATATATTATAAGTCCAAGCGGAGCAGCCCACCAACCGGACATGTTGATCAGCTGAGTTGGACAGCTGCATAGTAGTTAACATGGCGCGGCTCTTAAGCTGAGATTTGTGTGTGCCGCCCGGGCCGCATAATTAGCCAAGCGGCATAGCTCGGAAAACAATGCACAAGCACACGCACACGCACACACACACACACACACAGAGCAAATACACTCTCTCTCTCTCTCTCTCTCTCTCTCTCTCGCTCACTCACACAATGTGAAGTGTCCTGCAGCAAGTTAAAGGCAAAACAACAACGAAACAATTTTTTTTTTTTTTAAGTAGAAGAGAGCGAGAGAGAGAGAGAGAAATTAAATTGCGGCTTGGACGCGACTGCGGCTTGGGCTTCATGCATATTTAAATGAGATTTTTGCGTTAACTGAATTTTGTCAACATGACGTGCGCTGAATGAAGTGCGGACGGGGCGGCAGAGGGCGTGGCCAGCCAATGTGGGAGCACGCTGCAGCCATGAGAAGCCATATTAATTTATATATGTACATGCACACACACAAAGCATGTATGTATGTGTGTATGTGTGCGCGCATTTATATATATTTAAATAAATTGGATTTTTCTGCGCGATTATTTTTTTTTTCGCTCTTTTTTCTTACTTCATTTAACAGGCTGTTGGCTGGGGCGTTGTGGGGGCGTGGCATATGTATTTTAAATAACTTGCCTGGCGCCATTAGCATATAAATTGATGTGCGCCAGGCCCATTCACACACACACACACACACACGCACATATCAAGCATTTGGCAAAACACACACAAACACACACACACACACACATTCACACATATCTAAGATTTCTGTGCCCTAAAAGCTGACAAATTGACTTCCGTTTCCGCGTTAAAAAATCAACAACAAAAGCACACAAAAGAGCTAAACAAAAAAATGAAAAACGTAATGAAAAGAAAATTAAAAAAAAAAAAAAAAAATTACAAAAAAAAAATCTTTTTTAAAAAAGTACTTAAAAAAACTGAGACACAAAACATAACCAAATTAGTCATTAGTTGATACGTCGAGCCGTTTATTTATTTCCTTAAAAATTATATATATATAAACATAAATATATATATATCAACC